ACCGACAAAACACCCGGCTGCAGTAGCTACCAAAAAGAAGCGCGGTGTAAGCAAAACGGGCTCACACGTCTTGTCATGCTGCAACTCCATACATCTGCACGCATGCACACGCACATCCATCCGTGCAACACAAGTGCCGGGAACCGGATCCTACCCATACACGTGCCAAGCAAATGTTTTTGCTATATATGCCATACGTCATGCTGGGTGGAGAACCGAGCGAAGGTTGCGCTAGGAAAGGCTTCGACACACCGCAGCCGTAGACGCGTGTAGTGAAACTGCATAATCGCACGATGATCATACATCCAGCTACCCTAGCTCGCAAATTCCTGCATATACCCTTTCCGACGGAAGGACCCGGTTCAAAGTCGGACAAACAAGCCAAGCCCAAGCTAAATGCCGACTTCACAAGAATGCATCTGCCTGCATGGAGTTCCTTTTAAAATCGCCTCTTGTTGAAAAACCAAGGTCCAAGAGAAACGATAAAGATACACGCATAAACCAACGTTCATTGTCTCGCGATCGGCCCTAACCCTTGTGGAAACGTTGCCGCAAAACCCGTGCCGTTAAATAGCTTGCACGAAAGAATACCAGCGAGACAAACATACATTGCACCTACTCCGGACAAAAAATGGCCCAACTAACCTCGCCACACCAGGGCCACCCGCCAACGCAAGGGGGGCTGAGCTCATTTATTATGCTCAGTAGCTACACCACGAACTGCAGGATCTCCGTTTTCCTGCGCAACCGCCATGAATACTCACTCAAGTGGTTTTGTAGCAACGCGCTGCAGGTACACTGCATCGCCGATTCAATGAAGTCGCTTGTGATGGCAGGCTCTTTCTCGCAAACACCCGTCGCAGAGACCGACAGCCCCGGCACACCAAATCGCAAAGCGAGCACGGCTAAATCAGAAACAAACTCTCATTTCACCTCACAACGCAACTTCATAAATACGCGGAATGCACATATACATCCTTGCCGGCTCTCATACAGGCTGAAACGTAGACGAGTGCATAACTGCGCCGAACAGATGAATTTGGGCCGGATGCTCAAAGCTCGGCACAGACTGTTCTAGCTACCGGACGATTCGTATTTCCGCAACTCGGGTTACTAACTATGTGCGTACTCCCTGACGAGGACAAGTCGCGATCGCAGCGCCACAGCAGGGTTCGCAACAGCGCGGTCGTAGACGTGCGCAGACAAACTGCACGACCCCTCGGTACCTCAGCGTGCGGGTAGGCGTAAGACGGGTTTATTCTAAATCAGCCATCAAGGGAAGACGAAACAAGTCAAACGTCTGGCAAGCATTCATTCAACACAACACGTGGGGCCCAAAAAGCACAACGTATGCAGCAACAGCAATTCGCCTCCCACTGAAGAACCGCAGTTTCCCGATGGGTCGTGAAGGGCCATATCCATATTCAACATCCATGTAAACCGTCCCACGGCACAGTCATCCTCCGCTAGAGCTCCGCTGCTTTAGTCCCTTGAAACCGGCTACCACCATAGAACCGCTGACCCATACTGAATACATCAATCACTTCTTCACAATTCAACGCCGCTTCGCACCACACTCATGCGACATATCACTCTTAACAAACCCTGCCACCGTCGGATACTACAGGGAGTTATATGCATTCGATCTGTCCTGCATACGCATAGCGAAGGAGCAGGGGCACTTAGCCAAAGCACATACACCAGAGCATGTCTCAACTGCTCCTACATTAGCGCATCCATCTCTGAAAACGCCACCACATTCCGGGATACGCGTTCGACTCAGGCCAAACACCGCACGCTTCAACACCTACGTGAAACATCGCTTTCCGAAACAACTCTGCATCTCGTCCTTCAGTCGCGACGCACACTAACCTGGCTCACGACGTCACC